GTGTGTGTGTGTGTAGATTCACACTCTAGAGAACCCTGACCAATACAGGCAGCTAGACTCATTTGCTTGGGTCTTAGGCACTGGGCCACTATGAAAGGTTGGCCTTGTCTGGTAGAAGCGATTTGGAGGACTGTGGGGGGGGAAGGGCGGGGTGTGATTCTGCTCTTATGTGTATGTTTAATAGGGACAGGGGAATGAGCTGGAGCTGCTCTAGAGTTGCCTGTATCTCATGAGAGTCACATTATAACCTTCCTGATGATATTTGCAGTACAAAAGATAGTGACAGTACCTCTGAACAATTAACATCCTCCATGCCTAGTTCACCTGGAACCTTCTGTGGGTGCGCTTTCCCACCCCCTTTTTCTTACCAGCTCTACTCATTAATTCTTATTGTCCAACTTGACACAAACCTAGAGTCATCTGGGAAGAGGGAGCTTCAGAGGAAGAATTGTCTCAAGCTGGCCTGTGTCTATGCCTGTAAAGATGGTCTTGATGGATGATTGATCTGGGAGGGCTCAGCCAACTATGGGCAGCACCGTCCCTAGGCAAGCTGGTCCATATATAAAACTACCTGAATACATGCCAGGGAGGAGCTAGTAAGCAATGTTGCGCTGTGGCTTCTGCTTCAGAGCCTGCCCTGCCTTCCCTATAACTATAAGCATGTTACCTGGAAGTATAAGCTGAAGTAAACCCTTTGTTCCCCAAGTTGCTTTTGCTCCTGGTGTTTATCACAGCAACAGAAGGCAAAGTAGAAGAGCAGCTGGACTGTGCTTTGTCCAACTCCAGTGCATTAGTTATCTTTCTTGTAGCTGTGATTAGATATCTGACAAAAGCAGTTTAAGGAGGGTTATTTTGGCTTACAGTTCAAGGATACAGCCTATCAGGGTGGGAAACACAGCAGTCGGAACTTAGGAAGCGTCTGGTTACATTTTACCCACCAACAGGAAGCATGGCAATGGGAACTCCCCCCCCACCAAGTGTCTGGTTACATTGTACCCACCAACAGGAAGCAGAGAAAGAATGCCGGTGCTCAGCTCCAATTCTCTTTTTTAATCAGTCTGAGATCCCAGTCCATGATGCCATCCATGCTCAGGGTGGGTTTTCCCACCTCTGTTAACCTAATCTAGAACTAATCTAGAAACTCCTTCACATAAAATTCCTAGAGTTTTATTTCCATGGCTATTCTGGATACCATCAAGCTGACAATCAACATTAACCATCGAATCCTCAGGGAAGGAACCACGTTGCTTGTTAAGTGGGGGTAGAGGTGTGCATACGTGTGTGTGTGTGTGTGTGTGTGTGTGTGTGTGTGTGTGTGTGTGTGTGTGTGTGTGTTCACACACATGTGAGTGCAGGTGCCTGTGCAGGCCAGAAGAGGACATCAGATATCCCTGGAGCTGGAGTTAGTTACAGGCATTTGTCAGCCTCCTGACATGCACGCTAGAAATGGAACTCGGGTCCTCTCCAGAACCAGCAGTCGCTCTTAACCTCGACCATCTCTAGCCCAACTACCACTGTTCTAAAGCAGGGAAATACTCTACTTCCTGAACTGATTTATAAACAGATGTCCAGGCCAGTTGTGATGTGTTGAGGGACACTGCTAACACACCCCCATCAAGGACAGGCTCCGTGGCTACATCAGCAAGACAGGTATCAAGAGCTCCTGCTACCCTTCTGGTTCTTCCAAGCAGTAGAAGAAAAGACAGAGCTTGAGTAACATCAGTCATTATGAGACTGAGCAGAGACATTTTGAAACAGCTTGGCCCAGCAAAAAGATGGAAAACCAGGATTCCTGGAGGTGTGGTAAGCTTCTGAACCAAACCGGGGACCATTTGCCTCGAGGTTCCTGCTTGGTGAGAATCTTCATTGTTCATAGATACATTCAAACAACAGTGTCAAATAGACAAGAGAACCTGTCTTCCCAGAGGGACTAGAGTAGGGAGAAGGCATACAAGAGCATCACCACATCAGCTGCTTCAATATGCTGGTTCAAACAAGGAAGAAGGGCCCAGAGGACTGGGTTTGGTGGTGGCTGCATCGGTACACTGAAAAGCTAGGGAAGACCTCAGCCACAGCCTGGGGACAGAGTCACATGGAGTCCTGGTGGCAATTCCAAGCAGAGGGGATAGTGAGTAAAAAGACTGCCTAAGCGCACACCCAGATGCATTTGAGGACCTGTGTGAGGAGCCATTGGAGGGAGGGTTTTGAGACAGGAGCAGCTCTAATGGGGCTTCCTCTGGAGATGATTGACTTGGGGGGGGCAGATGCAGGTGTTCAAATTATAACAACATAATAAAGTATGTGAGCACTATACCCTAGTAGGTGCCAATCCTCACCTTCAGTCTTGTTTGGGGTAAAGGCTCTTGCTCACTGCCTCATACCCCAGGTTAGCTGACCTAAAAGCTTGCAGGGATTCCCCCGTCTCTGCCCCCAGTCACCATAGGAACATTGGGAACACACACACACACACACACACACACACACACACACACACACTTCTCTGTTCTGCCTTTAAATTTAGGTTCTGGGAATTCACATCCTCAGGAGTTCAGAGTGAGCATTTTGCCTCCTGAGCCTTTTTCCCCAGCTCTGATTCCCTTCCCTCCTAGTATGCACTTGTCTGCCCCCACTTTGGGCTCCTGCCCCTGGGGCATCAGCAGACTTAATGTGAGTTGCTCATCCACTTGCCTTCTCTTGAGAACACACCCCACTCCCACCAAGGAGGCTAAGAAGACAACCCAGAGCTGGAAAGGCCCATACAGGCCACGGGCATCTGAGTAAGGTTGCAAAGGTTTGTTCTATGGGCCACCCAGGTTCTTGTAGCTGCACAGCTGACTATGACCCTTATCGTCTTTCAGCCAAAAGGATTTGCATGATACAGAGGTTTTGTTGGTGTGGGTTATGAGTCCACAGTGAGCATCACACTCCCAATCATAAATAAATTGATAGTGTGCCAAGAAAGGAACACCTCAGAGGTATTTTTATTGCTTGCACACACACACACACACACCACCACACAAACACCACAACACCCCCACACACACCCACACACACAAAAACACACACACACACACACAAACACACACACACACACCCTCACTCATGCACACATAGGTGCACATTGTATATAGATATAACAAGTCATTATCCTTGCTAAATTATGTTAGGAAGCTTCAGCCATTGAGCAACTATATTTCTGAGAACTATATATTATAGTTACTTATGCTTCTTATACCTATGAGGTTAGTCAGACATATTTGATCTTCAAACATGTCAAAGACCTTCAGAATATAGCAATTAAATGTTTTAATATTAGTACGTCACCCTCATTCATGCACACATAGGTGCACACACACAGTGTGTGCGTGTGTGTGTGTGTGTGTGTGTGTGTGTGTGTGTGTGTGTCTGCAGGCATACATGCCTCAGCAGCTTCTCACAGTTGTCCTTCCCTGTGATAGAAGAGACTTCACAGCAGGCCATGTGAGAAACTTCAAGGAGTCCTGCTCTCTGGATCATCCCCAGAAATGCCCGTTTAACTGGTCTAAAGAGTAACGAAAGGAGCTGGAGAGATGGCTCAGCAGTTCTAAGTACTTATTGCTCTTGCAGAGGACCAGAGTTCAGTTCCTAGCATGCACATGGGGCACCTTAGAACTGCCTGTAACTCCAGCTCCAAGGGGTCTGACACCCTCTTCTGGTCCCTGCAGAAACCAGCATATCCATACATATACACATCAGTAAAAATAAAAGCATTTTTTTTTGAGACAGGGTTTCTCTGTGGCTTTAGAGGCTGTCCTGGAACCAGCTCTTGTAGACCAGGCTGGTCTCGAACTCACAGAGATCCTTTGCCTCTGCCTTCCAAGTGCTGGGATTAAAGGCGTGCGCCACCAACACCCGCACAAAAGCAAATCTTAAAAAAAAAAAAACAAAACTATAAAGAGTAATGTAAGCACTCAGGAGTATCTCACTTGGACTAATTATTTATTTAAAAACCTAACAAACAAATAATAAAAGCTGGGCATGATAATATGCTTATCTTTAATCCCAGCACCCAGGAGGCAGAGGCAAGTTAATCCCTTTAGTTAGAGGCCAACCTGGTAACATATTGAGTCCCAGCCCAGTCAGGGCTACATAGGAGACCCTGTCTCAAAATAATAACAACAGAAACAAAACAGCACTGAGACACTGCAATACTAGACCACCAGACCTCTTTGAGAGTCTGATTCAATCTGTGAATTACTGAAGACTTTTCTATTTTTAAGTTATATGCATTGTTTATTTTGTGTGCACATGGGGGAGAGGGCAGCTGGCACATATGTGAAGGTCAGAGACAGCTTGCAGTAGTTTTCTCTCTTTCCTTCCACTGAGTGGGTCTCAAAGCTTAAAAGCAGGTCACCGAGCTTGGTGGGAGATGCCTTTATCCACTGAGCCCTTTGAGCCGTCATGACGACAGCTGCTTGGAACACTTTTTAACAAGGTTTCAGGTGAGGTTCATCTGTTTGCAGACTGAGAATCATCACCTTGTGGAGGGAATGTATGAGGCTAATAAAGGTAGATTCCTCTGGTGGATTAAGGGTAGAGGAGAAGCTGTGTCAAGGAGACAGTCTCAGGAAAGCCCTGAGAGACCCTCAATGAGGAGCATAGTATTAAAACAAAAGTAAATCAGCTTCGTCACGGGTCAAGTCCAATGAATTACCAGTACTACCTAAAATACATCCTGTAAGGGTTTGGCAGGGCTTCTGCCTAGTGCAGACATGTACCACAATCCACTAGTAATGTCTGTTGTGTCCTTCTGTAGAAGGCGCGGGCGTGTTTGCCAAACAGTTGCCACCCTTCATGAGAAGTCATCCACGCTCCAGGCCCAATGGTATGACTCCCCCCACCCAATGACTTTTGAAGTGTCATTAGTGTGCGGTGGAGAGAAGGCCCCAGGTCTCTGGTGAAATGGGAGTTACAAATCCCCTTGCTCTTCCCTGGTCTTCCCCTATGTCCCCCAGCCCTTCTTATCTCTGCTTAGTGAAGAGGCTCTTGAAAGCATTATTGTAGTTCTTATTAAAGGCTGTGTAAATCAAGGGGTTGAAGAAGGAATTGGAATACCCAAGCCACAGGAATATGCTTTTCCAGATGGGTGGCAGGCTACAGGCACAGAGTGGGCTGATGAGCTCCGCCAGGAAGAAGGGGATCCAACACAGCACAAACACACCAATCAAGATCCCCACCATCATGGCTGCTCGCTTCTCCTTCTGCTCCCGCCATGAGTCTCCACTTGTCTGGAAGGTCACTGTTGCTCTGCAACGTGCTGTGAATACCATCTCAGCCTCCTCAGGTACCTCCTTTGCCTGGGAACAAAAGAAATGTGGAATTAAAATAGCAGAACAAGGGGAAAAGCTAAGCAGAAAAAAAAGTCATCTGTTCTCAGTTCTGTCAGAGAAGTGAGGTCACAAGGCTCAGATGCTCTTTCCAAGATAGAAACCAGTGAATACAGAGACTCACAGCTGAGGGGAATAGGCACGAATAAACAGAGACAAGTACACAGGGGCAGAAAATTGTAAAAGTGACTGACACGGTGCTGGAAGCACGATATATCCGAGTTCTAAAAGCTCCAGATGCAGCTGGGCAAACAAGATTGTGTTTTCTATACAAGATGAGGACCTGAGTTCAATCCCCAGAACCCATCGAAAAATTCCAGGCATGGTGAAATATGCTTGAATTGTGGAGTGCTGGGGAGATGGAGGCAGGAGGGTCTCTGAAACTGACTGACAACCCAGTCTAGACATATTGTGAGCTCCAGGGTCAATGAGAGACACTGTTTCAAAACACCAAGGTGAACAGGGCCAGGGAGATGGCTCAGCAGTTAAGACTACTAGCTGTACAGTCACGAGAACTGTAGTTTGGATCCCAGCATCCTTTGTATGTCTGCAACTTCCTATGTGAGGGGGTAGAGACAGGAGGATTGTTGAGCTTTACAGCTTCCAGCCTAGCTGAGAAAATATAAGACTTGGGTTCAGGGAGAGACCCTACCTCCAAGGAATAGGCACAGAGTACTAGAGGAGGACATCTGCTGCCCTCATCTGGCTTTTATACCCAGGCATAGGTATATATACGCTCACACAGACACATACATAGTTTTAAGAAACAAGGTGGAAAGGAACTAAGGAAGATGACTAACAACAACCTTTGGCCTCCACACATACGTCGGCCCACATGCTCACTCAGGGAAGGAAGTGGGCAGCAAAGTTATAGACTTCTATACATTTGTACCTTCGGAAATTCTGCCCTGTCCTTGAAGCAAATAGTGTGAGGGGATCATTTTTCGCTTACTGAAGGGAGATCTGTTGTGAAACTGATCAGATCATTCTATTGTTCTGAACAAAGCTTAGCATCAGGAAAAATTAATTAGCCAGAGTCTAATCTACCTTGGAGAAATAAACATTAAACTCAAACACCCTTTAATCTTCCAGTCCCACTTGAGGAGAGATGAGACGAGCAAGTGGGTGTCCAGGGCACCAACCCTCAGCGAGTCTGGAGACTGATCCTCATGCTTGCACAGTGCCCCAGTTTGCTTTTTGATAAAACATTCTTACCAAAAGCAAATTGAGGAGGAAAGGATTTGTTTAGCTTACACTTCCAGGTTAAGTGTCAATCCTTAGGAACACAACAGGAACTGAAGCAGAAACCATGGAGAAACGAGGCTTACTGATACAGCCTAGGCCCACTTACCTAGGGATAGTGTTGCTCACAGTCGCCTGGGACCTCCAACCTCCAATGTCAATCACCGATTGAGACAGTCTCTCACAGGAATAACCGCAGACCAATGACACTGAGGCATTTCTTTATATGAGGTTCTCTCTTCTAGGTGACTCTAGGTTTGTGTCCCAGTGACAAAAAAGTAACCAACACCTACAGCAAGCACTTTGCCCATTCCCCAGCCCCTGATTATCTTTTCAATGACCACGGGACCTGTTGTGATATCCCCTTTTTCATTTCTTTTCCTTAGCCTGTCTCAAGTTTTTTTGTTTTTTGTTTTTTTTGTTTTTGTTTTTGTTTTTCAAGACAGGGTTTCTCTGTGTAGCTTTGGAGCCTATCCTGGTATTCGCTCTGGAGACCAGTCTGGCCTCGAACACACAGAGATCTGCCTGCCTTTGCCTCCCGAGTGCTGGGATTAAAAGCATGCGCCACCACTGTCCAGCTCAAGTTTTATTTTTTAATGATCACTTTAAAGAACCAGGTTTTGGATTCATTGATTTTCTCCATTGATTTCCAGTTTTCACGCTTGATTTCTAGCTTTTCAATTTCTTTTTTTGTTTGTTTTTGTTTTTGTTTTTCGAGACAGGGTTTCTCTATAGCTTTGGAGACTGTCCTGGAACTCACTCTATAGACCAGGCTGGCCTTGAACTCACAGATATCTACCTACCTCTAGCTCTGCCTCTTGAGTTCTGGGATTAAAGGCGTGTGCCATCACTGCCAAGCTACTACTAGCTTTTTAAATTTCTATTCTGTCTCTTACTTGAGAATTTATTCTTTCCCTCTTGTTTCCTAAGATAGAATTGTACATAAGCAGCACTGAGGGAGAATCACAAACTTGAAGGATTAGCATTAGTCAACTTCAAAACAACCTAAAGGAGCTGGATCTATGGTTCAGTGGTTAGAGTTCTTGATGCTTAACAGCTCACAATTACCTGTAACTCCATTTACAGGGGATCTGAAACCCTCTCTGGCCTCTGTGCATACATACCTGCACACACATACACATAGTCACAGAGAGACATCATCCACATAAATATAAATGAATCCTTTAAAACTGGTGGCACATGCCTTTATGCCTGCACTTGGGAGACAGAGGAAGGCAGCCTCTGAGTTCAAGGCTAGCCAGGTCTACAGAGTGAATTCTAGGACAGCCAAGGCTACACAGAGAAACCCTGTCTCCAAAAATACCAAACCAAAACCAAAACCAAACCAAAACAACAAAGAAGTACTATAAAATTTTAGTAATCAAGAGTATATTATGTTGGCCAAAGAACACATAAGTACAGTGGATCAATGGAACATGGAGAGCCCAATAATAAACCTACATATATGTGGTGTATGGTGTCTAAATTGTCCACTTGATGCAGTCCACATTGCTTGGGAAGATAATCTCAATGAGGGATTGGCCTTTGGGTATTTCTGTGAGTGATTGTCTTTATTACATTAATTGGCATGGGAAGACCCAGCCCACTTTAGCCAATACCATTCCCTAGGTTTGAGTTCTAGACTAGGTAAGAGTAGAGAAAGTGAGCTAAACAGTAGTAAGCATGCATTCGTTTATTTCTCTCTGATGTGGATGTGATGTGACCACTTTTAAGTTTCTGTTGTCTTGATTTCCCCACTATGATGGACTAGAACTTAGAAATAAGACTAAAATAAGCCCTTTTTCCCCTACGTTGTTTTTTGGTCAGTAGAAATGAAATTAGGGCATATGGTCATCTGATCTTTGACAAGGGAACAAATGTAATAAAATAGATAAAAAGTGTTTTCAACAACTGAGGCTACAACTAACATCCACTTAGACCTAACACCTTCACAGAACATACTACAAAATATATCACAGGGTAAATATAAATTCCCAGGAAACACTGTAGGAGGAAATCTAGATAAGTTTGGGTTCCTGGTGTCTTTTTAGATGCAATACCACAAGTGCAATCATTAAGGAAAGAATCAATGTGGTACACATCAATAAACTAAAATTCTCTGCTCTCTGAAAAAATATTGTCAAGAGGATGAAAAACAATCCAGTCTGTGGGGAATAATGCCAAGAAAACAATGAAAGTCAGCAAGTGAAGGGCCCCTACCCAAAATATAAAGATTCCTAAAACTCATGAATGTGAACAGTGCTGAGGAGTTGGCTGAAGGAATACAGTGCTTGCCCTGCATGTATAGACCCAACAACACATTCCTCAGAACCCACATACATGCCAGGTAGGCATGGACACCTGCCTGTAATCCCAGCTCAGACCAAAAATGGACAAAATCCCTTGGCCAAGCTGGCTTGCAAGACCAGCTGAGGGCTGAAGAGATGCTTCAGTGGTTTAGAGCACCTACTCCTCTTCCAGAGGACCAGATTTGATTCCCATCATCCACATCAGGGGTTGAGTGTCACTCCAGTTCTAGTGGATCCAATACCCTCTTTTGGCCTCCTTGAGCACCGCATACACTTCTGCAAACTCAATATGCACACACACAATTTAAAAATAATAGTAAATAGTAATACTAATAAAAAGATGAGCTGAAAAGTAAGCTCTGTGTTCATTGAGAGTATCTGTCTCAATATATAAGGTGAAAAAGGATCAAGAAAGTGACCCAATGTCAACCTCAAGCCTTTATATGTACACACATGTGTGCCTACATACATTTGTGACCCACATATGCAAACACACACACACACACACACACACACGTGTGTGTGTGTGTGTGTGTGTGTGTGTGTGTGTGTACACAAAAAAAGGAATGTAAAACAGCCTATTTAAAATAGGCACAAAAAACCCTTTAACAAGTACATCACTAAAAATATCGTAGTTCTACATATCTTGGGCTGGCAACATGATACAGCGGGTAAAGATATTAGATGCCAAGTATTTGAATTTGATGCCCAAGACTCACAAGGTAGTAAGTGAGAACAGACAATAGAAGGTTCTGCTCCAGCATACACATATGTACACCATGGATAGGTAGGTGTATTTTAAAGAAAATCTACATCATTAAAAACATAAAAATATGCTACACCTCATGTCAACAGATAAATAGAAATCAAAGCAGCAAAGAGATATCACTAGACATCTATTAAAATGGCTTGAGAGTGTAGCTAGCATAGCACAGTCAGTAGAGTGGTTGCTTAGTGCACACTAAGCTCTTTGTTCCATCCCAGTACCACATAAACCAGGCACACAACACAAACATGTATGCCCAACACTCAGGAGGTGGAGGCTGAAGGACCAGTTATCCTCAATGACATAATGAGTTTGAGGTCTGCCTGGAATACTTGAGACCCTGTCTCAAAAAGTAAAATAATAGAGCACAAATGGTGAAGACTCACATAAGTGTGCATCTCACCCTTCATCAAAGATGCTTCTTTCTGCTGCAGCAGAACTAGTCAAAATGCAAGTGCTCAATCCCAACTCATCTTCACTAAGACTCAGGGAACATTGACGAAAAGAGGGTGGAAAGACTGTAAAGAGCAGAGGACCAGGAAATCTGTTCTAAGACCATGTCTTTTGGCTAGGACAGGGAAGCTGTAGCCATAAAATGTCAACATGACTGCCTAAACAAGACCTGAACAATTCCAACAATTGTTGATTTGCAA